CACCAGTGTGACTATGGAGCGGTTTGATGCAAATTTGTGACAACAGTCCAAAAGAGATTAAATCTGTTTTATTAAACCTAACATCAATGTAGAGGGAAAAAAAAATCTGTCAATTCAAATCCACTAAGGTTTTCTGTTACACATTTAACTTGAAGTTAAAAACACCAATTGAAGTTCCTTTATCGTATTCCTAAATTCCTTTGACGAAGGTTCCACTAACGACAACGTCAAAAAAACTCACAACTTATGACTTTGTTTTTTGGGACACTCACTCAGCATGTCCCAAAAAACAGAAATCTGAGAATACTGTAGATGCAGAACAAAGCCTCCGACATGTGAAACGTTGCAAAACCCAAAACCTTTGGGAACCAGATGAATCGTCGGGGCTGTTTTCCACGAAAGCAGAAAGCGTCGAAAGATCTGAACCTTCCCAGAAGTCGCCATCCTATAAGAATCACTCCAAGAGTCTAATAGTTTACAGTTTGCACAATTATACACTCAATGGAAAAGCATCTACCAACGCCTTGACGTTTTGCTGCCTCTTGTGTTTGTTGAATGCGCGGCGAATAAGAGAAGCTCTGGTAAAAACGAGACCATTGAGCTTCTCTCCCATCGGCTCCTCGGCCTGCTGATGGAGAACAGCGTTAGCTCCCACAAATAAACATCTGGTTTGTTTACCGCTGGCTGCAGGGCGCACTGTAGTACAGCGTGACAACGCGCCGACGCATCTAGGTCAAATACGCCAAATGCGTAGCTGAGAACGACGGAGACGCAGAGAGGGGGAGGGGGGGCGATCTGAAGGAGAGCAAGAGCAGCACTTCAAAGTGAAGAAAGGATGAGTGATGGCGAACACGATAATTAGGAAGAAGCGTGAACAGATCTGCCTGAGGGGAGCGAGGAAAGGGTTGCATGTGCGGCGCTGCGCGTTTGCGAATCGAATCCGACTCCGTGTTTGTGTTTAAGTACGAGTGTGTGTTTTTATTTACTTTAAATAAATAGTCTCGACGTTCTAAATGCACACATCCACCCCTTCGGTTTTTCCTCCGCATCCACTTGAACTCAGGAGGGTTTGAAAGGAACATATTTGCGCCAATGCAGCTGCAGTCGATGCGGCCGCCACAAAATGTGAGTCGGCCTCCAAACACACGGTTTTTAATGATGCCAGGCATGTCTCCAAAAGCCTTTTATCTTCATCCAAACGTGAAGAAATGAAGCGTATTTTGTGATACATCAACTTCTGTTATGGATATGATACATTTCCTGTTTATGTTCCCGTTATGCTCCAATACAGCTCCAGGTTAATTTGCACATTTGGATCCTTGTAGTGCAACCTTTACCTGCTTTTTCATCCATCCCAGCTTCTACTGAATTTATTATATATATTCATTTTTTCACACAACTCTGATTTGACTTCATTTCTGGATATTCTAGTGACTGTGTCACAGAATGAAGAGCAAAACGTGTTCTGGAAATCCAATGAACATAAACTGAATACTACACATTTTGGCTTAATATAATACATACACTATATAAATACACTTCCTACTGTATGTGTTATGTACATATATTTTACGTTGACAAACATTTATTTGGGAAATTATTTCTTCTTGAATTTATTTTGCCATGTTTTTTAATGTCAGTCTTTTAAAATTGCAGAACTGGCACATATATTTACAATTTAGTCTATCTGCATAGACATATGTATTTGATCAGACATTATAATTAGTTAGTCAATACTTTAGTAGTATTTAAAAAAAAAAGGTTTTCCTCTGTTGAGGAATTTCTTGAATGGCGACGTAAATAACGGGATAATTTCAATTAATTACATGAAATTTAACACATTAAATGTTTTAATGTAATTAATAGCATTTTTTGTGCATTCAAAAAAGTTTTGCAATTTGCTTGTTTCTTTGTAAATCTGACATCCATTTTTTTCCCTTCCTCATTCTAAGTTGCCTTGGACGTGATTAACGTGTAATTTATTTAGTCACTGTGTGTTGGATTAAACTTTAGATGAAAAATGACTGGCAATAATAAATGTTAATGAGCTAATCCAGGAAGTTTAATTAATAAAACAAAATCCCATTTAATGTTGGACGGATCCGACACGCATTAATCATGGTCTGATGTTAAGGGGCTATTTTCGCTCTGGCGTGATCAATTTGTCCCCCAAGATCATCTCCAGCTTTTCCCAAGACAGCGATCCGCTTTTTCTCATGATATGTAGCAAAAGTGAAATGAAACGCAACATTCAGACTCGTGTAAAGAAATATACAGGTGACTGCAGTTTAGACAAAACAAAAATGAAATTCTGTCGATTTATTGCCAACTAATCTAGACAAGTTTCGAACACCCAAACTCTTTTTGCCCACCGACAACGGAATAAGCGTTGCATAATAAAGAAGCAGCAACATCTGTTTGACATTTAATGTTACAGAATTAAAACCCGAGGAGAAAAATGTTAACATTTTATGTCAGAAGCAACATGGATTACACAACATGTCTTAGTTGTGTGTAAATTGTGGCGTCTAAATGTTTTTTAGATCAAGGCATGATGTGTTGCAGAAACAATACAGAGTGAAGGTTTAAAGCTTTCAGCGCTCCAGGTCAAAGTTCACTGGCTTATTGTCATCTTCATGTAATAATACGACGTTGACTTGGAGTTTACTGAATACGACTCCTGCAGAGTTTTGCTGCGGCTCTCCAAAGAAAATGGAGAGAAAAACCCAATCTAAGCCGTTGTCAGACTTTCTGTCGTGCCTGTGGTGTGTTTGGGTGAAACATTGGAAGTGCTGCTCTATAAAGCTCTAAATGTCTCAGGACGAAGCTCCATTTCTGAAGGCCCTTTTACCATTTAGGCCCTCGAGGCCCTGCAGGCTATCGGGCTACACATGTATTGAGTTACTGAGCTGCAGAAAATCTCCACGGAGTATTAGACAATCATCCCAAAAATGCTCCGTGTTGCTGTACTGCTTCTGATGCAGCCATACATCATCCTGACGTTTTATTTTTCTAAGTCGTTACCAAAATGTCCACTCCTTACACTTCTGCACTTTTGTTGTGAAAATGACTTTCTGCATAGGTCTGTACCTAACCATGAGAAAAGTCTGGTCCTTCCACCTTTACTCAATTTGAGGAATTGTTTTATTAATACATTTATTTATTTATTTATTTATTGCCTCAAAGTACAGCTTGCTTGCTCTGTTTGTCCTAATCCCCATTCAAAATAGATTATTTTAACAAATGAACAGTTTTACTTGCATCTCAAACATAAAATTCAATATAAATGTTGATCAATGTTGATTGTGCTTTAGAAAAAGAAAATTGTAAGTGGCCTGCACTTGTGTAGCACTTGATCAAGTCAGAGGACTCTAAAACCCAAAGCTTGCACTGCATATCAGTCATTCAGCCATTCATACACACGTTCTCACTCTGATGGCAGTAAGCTCCGCTGTAGACGTTAACCGGCTAGGCTGAGACTTGACAGCGGAGAAGAGGCTTTGGTTCTTTGGTTCTGGGGTCTTTCTGTGTGACGTCTGCATGAACCAGTTCTCTGGAAGTAATCTGGTTTCTGCCCACAGTTCAAAAACATGACCATTATGCTGATTCGTGTGTTTACATTTACCTTGGCTGTGTGTGTGTGTCTGATTGTGTATTCTCTGTGGCTTCATTTCCATTGCAAATGTGTCCAAAACTTTGTTGATATTCCGCTAATGTTGGAAAAACACAATTTAGCTATTGCGTTGTTTCTGTCAACTAAGAAACCCAATGAAAGTCACGCAGGAATAAATTTATTAAAGCAATGAGTCAATAAAAACACACCACACCACGATCCTCCAACTACTTCCTGTTGTCGACTTCCTCGTGGTTTGCTGCAGTTGCAACATCCAGTTGTTGATCATGTGACTGGTGTGATGAGAGCAAATTGTTTCCATTGCAGTTTTGCCAAATAAACCAATTTTGATATGGAGAAACAAAACACACCTCATCCTAGAACAAAAGCTTTTATTGGGAAACAGGATTTTTCACTCTTTTTTTTTAAAAATTGGCACGTTTCAATTTTGCAAATGTATTTTCTAAAAGTCAAATTGTGTCGCACCGTAGCGGGTTGGCGAACCGTCCAGGACAAACCCGAGAACTCCGCCTCCTGCCCGATGCCCACTGCAGTCGCTGTGTGGCACAGGTCCAGACGGAAATGGACAAGATCGGTCACACAAATGAAAAGTTAAAGCGTGCAACACTGCAGGCTTCGTCTGCAGAGTGAGAGCAGTGGGAGTGATTCATCCCTGTCTCTTAGAGTCCTTCAAGTTTTTTCAGGATGGCCGGCAGGCCTTTGGTGGTCTTCCACCCCCACCCCTCTGACACATTTCTGGGACATAACATGGGTGTCGGTGTTGCAGCTTTTTCGCTCCCTCAGACATTTTCTGCTTGTGTCTTGAGCTGTCAACAAATAGAAAAGCCTTTACCTTGCTAGGAATTCTAATCTGTTTTTCACATGTCAGATGAAATGTCTGCTTGGGTACAATTTCAGCCTAACTCAAAAGTCATTTATGTACATGCTGGGAATGTCCCAAACATGAGCATGTTCATTTGTTTAGTTGTGTATATGATAGCTGAACGTATCTTATCTATTTTAACTGTTAGAATAGACAACATATTGATCTCTTGCAGAGGAGTTTAGATGCAAAGTGAGCCTTTCTACACTATTTCCTGCCATTTCCAGGTCTTAACATTTATACAAACTTCAAAATAAAATAGTCATAATTCAAAATAAAATAGTCATAATGGTTAGTAAAGGGACAGTGATAAGTGTTTGGAAACCATTGTCTGCTTTTTATGAAATCCTTTTAAGGTAGACTTCTTTTATATCTCAGTCAGGATATTTTTTAAACACATAGAGTAACATAATTTATGCTTCAAATTTATATCAGACTGGTGATGGGTATTTTGGTGACCTCTGTCATTTGCATATTTTACATTGCACCTTAAACTTGGTAGATAATGATTTCAGAGATGCATGAAATTCACTTTTAATTGCAATATATTTCCAATAAGGTCAGAGAAGAAGTAAACTGTTTGACATGTCTGATTCGTTTTCACCAAGATGTTGCTTACTGTTAAATGATTGCGACTTCATGCTGGCAGGAACGGCTATGAAAGAGTTCACCATGAATTCTGCTGGACTAAATTTGGCATGAATAGCAATCTAGAAATGTACATCGTTTTTCCTCTAAATCCAAAACACTCAGAGGGTCAGACATAATTTGAACAATTATTTCATGAACAGAGACTCTTTAATTCTTTACAGTACAACTTTTATAAAGCTATTATTGTATGTTTATTTATTTAATTTTTTTAGCATCAGTAAAAGCAATAGATGAACAATAAAAGCAGCCAAACCCAGAAAAGGAAATGATCTCCTATGTACAAAACAGTGAATTCTGCGATTTGCCAGTGATAGGCCTCAAGAATTGTAAGTTAAACTTACAATTCTTGATATTTTACAAGGAGCAGGTGTCGATAATATTCATACTCTTTAAGAAATAATAGATTTTATTCAAACAACATGAGTTAAAAGGGATTAAACGCTCTTTAGATGCCACAGAACCTCTCGCTGATCTCCCACAGCTTCTTTGAGGCGGCATCGTCTCTGGCCTTGGCGAAGACGTTTCTTGCGGTGCAGTTGGAGAAGTAGCGCCCGCTGAGGTGTTCGATGCCCTCCTGCAGGGCGCAGTGCAGAGTGGTCTGGCTTCCCTGGAGCGCGGTCTTGAAGAAGAACCTTCCAAAGAAGGACAGAATCATCTGAACGGACGTCTCCGCGTTCCTGGCCAGCTCAGTCTTGATGCCCCCTGCGAGGACACAAAGTCTTTTGTGGTTACCTGGTCTTTCAAAGTGAACACCTGTTTGGTCATATTCTACAGTACATCGTTTGAAGCACTTTTGTTTCTTAGTACTGGGAAGCAGTGAAAATCATTTACGTCAGTGAGAATGGATTAACTTGAGGCCAGACACAATCTACAAAACGAACAACATGGTTTGTTTGGAAGGATTGCAAAAAACAGGACAGATATGGCAACAAGTCGATGACTTTTCCAATTCATTGTCATAACTTTTTGCTATAAATGCACATTTAACAAATATATTACAAATTGAGTATTTATTTTAAAAACTCTGAAAAATCTGAGACTTAGCAGTTTTTCTGCATTCCTCGTATTAAAATTAAAAATCTGCATGTACCACTTGTACTGAACTCTACTATAAGGAATCTGTACACTACACTGTGAATCAAATACAAAACAGTCGAGTCAGGGAAGTAGGCACATTGGTAAACTGATGCTGCTGTTATCATTCTTCTGAATGAGTTTGTCTACATTCCACATCCTCCATGTCTACAAGCCAGGACATGGCTTGTGGACGTGTGTGTGATTTTCTTTTGGATTTAGTTTATTTTCTCTTTTGTTTTTTATTCTTTGACTTGCTCCAATGCTGCCAAATGAATTCCCTTTTCAGCTTTCTAGCCTGACAGAGTTCAACACCGACTGACATTTGGAATTATTAACTTCACTGATTTTGACAGAACGCTCAGATCCAAAACAAACAAACAGAAAAAAAAGTCCTCAGATTTCAGTTTAGTTTCATTGGACTGGAAAAGTCTGAGGAGATTTTAATCTGGCCTGGATGTAAAAACGATTCCATCCTGTAACTTTATTTGTATAGACGTGTGAAAATCACAACAGACTGCTGTTACATGTTGAACATCATTTCTGCAGCTCCCTCACGGTTGCTTTTGAGGTCTTTGCAATCTCACTGTCTGGTTTCTATCTCGTCCTCTTAACAGAGTTTTATTTGATTTTTTAAGATCACCAAATCACCACACCGTCCCAAATGATTATTTTCTGTTCCAAGGCATCTCTAAACCAAAAGTCTAGCTTTCTCCAGATTGATAACTTTTGTCCAGTGAGATACTTTCAGTCTTTCGTAAACATTTTGTAAACTGTGGCATTTCCAATGGCAATTACTAGCTGGATTTTATTCTGAAATGTGATTTTTTACATTCTGCTAATGTAAAAAAAAAAAAAAAAAAAAAACATGCACACAATTTTGCATTTACAGTTTTTCCATGAAATAAGAAATGTTCAGCTATGCTGAACCATTAGCATCTACATTTCCTTCCACAAACACTGAGCACTACTTCTTCTTTTTTATGGCAGTTTGCAAAACGCAGAGCACACTCTGCGTGTGATGTTATTGCGCCCTCTACTGTGCATGCAGGACACTTTCAGGTCATTTGGAGTTCACACTGAAGATCATTTACAAATCGAATATATTTTAAAATATGAACGACCGGCTCTAACAAATCCAATTTCACAAAATATCGGACTTGGGTCATTTCGTGCTGCGATGTGGACATAACCTTTGAGATCCACCGTTTGCGGTGAGCAAGAACCTCTTGCATTGGTTCTTACCTGGATGGAGGGAGTAACACGTGACCTTGGTTCCCTTCAGTCTCTTGGCGAGTTCATGGGTGAAGAGAACGTTGCACAGCTTACTGTCGCCGTAAATTCCAAAGCCGTCTATCTGTGACGTTCCTACTCTCAGATCTCTGTGCGTGTTCAGACAATCAAAGTCGACTCTTCCCCAGTTGTGTGCCGTCGACGACACATTCACCACCCTGCTGGGTCCACACTCCTTCAGCCGGTCCAGCAGCAAGCTGGTTAACAGGAAGTGACCGAGATGGTTGACGCCAAACATCATCCCGAACCCGTCCTCCGTTCGGCCCATCATGTAGAGACCTGGGACAAAACCACGTTGATATTTCATAACACTTGTCACTTTTCCATGGAACCAAACAAAGTAACGCGTAATTATGCAACGGAGGGACGGCAATACATAGTTTAAAAATGTTCCTAAAGATAAAAATCCCAACTATGCTGTGGATTTAAGCTCTGCTCCTGATTTTATGTTTTCTGTGTCTGCATTGCTTGTGGCAAATTAGAAATTCTACTTTTTATGGCTTGTTTTCTTCAGTATTTTTTAATAATTCCACTGTTTTGCTCCTTTTGCATTAGGGTCATAGTTGTTGAACACACAACACAAAATTTGTTCCACAAAAATATTTCTGTGGATCCTTGCAGGTCCTCCAGGATAACCGCAGGGCTCTTGGATACACTCCATATGAGAAGAATTCATTTACTTCATTGATAATTTATTCTTTACTCTGTCATACACCCAGACGTCCCAAAACGCCCCAAAAAGTAATCATGTAGACACACACCTGCAGATTCTGTTAAAGTTTTATAATATTTATATTCAAAGAAACTTATGATGCCTTACTTTGCTATTTTTTGTTGTTTATATAAATCATTGTCCTTAAAAAACAAAACAAAACAGAGATTCTTCCTAACTATATATTTTGGTTCCAATTTTAAAATATTAAATTATTGATAATTTGATCAGTTACTCAACAACTGAAGTTTTCAACAAATACTTTTTACCTTTACGTGAGTAAAAATATGTCGAAGCGGTGCTAACTAATATCCAGAGCTCTGCCCAGCACTGGATATTGAGAATTTGTGACACAGAACAGATCAAGTATGGGGTTTGCTGATGGTTTTGCTGAAATCGCAACATGCCGAGGACAGAACTCCTACCTGCGTTGTTGATCAGGATGTCCAGTCTGGGTTCTGTCTTCAGGAAGTTCTCTGCAAAGCTGCGGACCGACTTCAGACTACCCAGGTCCAGCTGCATGAACACCACCTGATTACTGCCGCTCTCCTGGAACAGACATCGACGAGTCAGCTAATATCTGGCAGCAACTTTTACGTCTCTGCCTACGTACCGGAAAACGGAGTTCAGTTTGAAATTGCCTTTATTTCACACTCCAAATGTCAGACAGCAAAACAAACATTAATACAAAATCAGAAAGGAAAAACTAAAGAGGCCATGTCAACCGATCACAAAACATCATTGCAGTCTCACAAATCACATTTCATAGAACATGAATAAATTTCTTTCTTGTACAATGAACCGTGGACCATAAAGAAAAATACAGCTAGAAAACTTTTCACCAAACTCACCAAACAAATGACCTAAAAGAACAAGAAGAGGATTCAGTCTTCAACATTCAATAAATAAATGAGGCAATGTTTCGTCCTGAGAACGATAACAGCAGTAAACTCTGACGCCAGGATTAAGGTGTGTCAGATACCTGCGAGTAGCTTTGGCCCCAATCACAATCCTCCACCGGAGGTCCCCCACCCGCCCGTACAGGGACCGCCAACGCTCTGATGAAATCGAGCAGAGAGGTCTCTTCTTTCAACTTCAGCGCAAGTTTGTTGGATCGTATCTGTGGATTCTCCGTTAGACTGGCCGCATACAGCTTCACCACATGACCCAGCTTCACACAGCCTGCTGCCCTCATCTCAGATCTTAGAGTACCAGATGAGAGGAGCTGTGACGGGAAGAAACTGTTTTCAAACAGAGGCTCTTCAAAAGCCCACGTTCTTGGTGTTGAATCAGTCTCTCTCTCAAAGCTGACAATCTTCTGAGCACGGATTGGTAGGAAAAGGGTGAGACCAGTCAAATCCCAAGATCTTTGTCTCTGCGAAAACACATGTTGATCATGTCCATTACGTCCTCAGCAGAAGACGCACCGTATCCAACCATGGTAGTCCAACACCGTACAACAACTTCTGCAGTGTTTGAAGCCCGAAAGCCGTGATCCGCGACACGATGTTGATAAATCCTTGCCCTCCCTCATCTACAGGCAAGTGCAAGGCTGCAGATGAGGCCAGTGACGTCCAGACCAGAAGAAATCCACTAAAGTGTTTTGAAGACGTTGTATGAGAGAGGATGGTGGCGTTAACACGGTCAGTTTGACCAAGTCCTGTTTGTACAGGAATGATATTTCACATAAACAGCAGCAAGAGCCTCAGGCTGTGTGATAACATCTAACTGTTTTTGAAGAGTAATTTTCCGATCCTGTGGTTCGCTCGCTGGGTGGACTCGCCCATTTAGGACTGAACAGTTTTGAATAGGCTCCTCTATTTTCTGTTCAGGATAATGACTGATTTGAGCTTATTTAGAGAATCTAAAGGTCCAATTAAACTTAAATCTCACCATATTGTTCACTTTTAAAAAAGTCACCAAGTTAAAATGTCTGAGTTTTATACAGGGGAAAATGATGAGTCATGATCCAACCACATGCACATATATCAATATGACCATTTTATATGAGAATATCTGTGTGTTATACATTCTTTCCTATAGGAAATGTATTTTATAAAACCTTTTTAATGAATGTTTTAAAAACTTTCTGCCAAAAAAAATAGAAGTTTTAAATTATATCTTTTTCTAACAAATTTTTGACTTCTCAAACTGAGATTGATTTTTAGTAATTTTTTCAAGAAAAATTACTAAATTTAATTTACTATTTTTTCCCCCAGATCTACATCGGCCCTAATACGCTGTTGACCAGACCAGTACTAAAGTCATTTGAACTCTCCCTCTCTTTTCAGTCTAATCCTGCTTCATTGTGCAGCTTTTCTTCCCAGTTTCATTCAGAAACAAAGACATGACCAGCAGACTCTCACCCTCTTGACATCCTGCAGAGCAGCTTCTCCTCTCTGCTTGCTGCGACAGGCCAGGATCACTCTGGCTCCTCTTCTCGCTAGCTCTATGGCCGTGGTCTTCCCTATGCCGGTGTTGCTGCCTGCAGGTGGAGAGCAGTCAGAAACCAGAAGCACATCATATCTACAACGCAGAAACTTCACCCACCGGTGACTATCACGGTTTTCCCATGCAGCTTTGCGTTGCTCTTGCAGCTCTTTCCTATCACCACAACCTGACGGAAAACGTAAGCGAGGACGACGAGTCCCAGAACCAGCAGAATCCAAAACATTGTTCCTGCCTTTGAGTTGCACTGAGGAAGCAGTGGGAGCCGTTGCAGAGTTCACTCGCTCTTATTCCAACAAACAGCCTCTTCCTGAATGGGCTGGACTTTGATTTACGTGTAATCAGATTGCAGCAGAGCACAAAAGCGGAAATTCTTAAGAGTTGGCCCGGCCCACACAGCTGCTTGTTGACATAATGCTGGGTGTGTTTTGCTGAATCATGGCTGCTGATACTTTTGCAGGCCTGTCCAATTGCACACCGCTTGGTGTTGGTCGTTCACATTGAATTTCAGCAAAACACATTCATGGTTGTTGTTGTAACTGTGGCAAAATGTGGAAAAGTTCTTAAAACTTTTGCGAGTCACTGCAAGATTTTTTTTTCTCCTTTAAACTGTAAATGAATGGAATCAACAAATAATAATAAAAATGATGTAAATACCAGAATAGTGGAGATAATGACGACTACTGAGGTTATCTAAGCTGATTCTACAGACATGAGTCTATCGTAAATAACGGCACTAATTTTAGTTTAACAGTTTATTATTAAAATTATCAAATATCCTCATAGAAAAGACAAGCTTGTGTCTCTCAGCTTAAATATTCTGCTGCTGGTTGTTGGCAGTGTTGCACAATCTCCAAAAAGTAGCATAAAGGTTAGTTTACTCATAGGTGAACCATGTACACGGTAATAATTTGTGTTCATGGCTGAACTACTTGCATGGCAGTTATTAGCTGAACTGTGTACACAGTGCTAATTCGCGTTCATAAGTTGAAAAGCAGCCAAAAACGAGACGCCCACGTCCCAACGCGGTACGACCGCTTCATGTACCTGATCACAGCTATCGCTTCGACTTCTAGCATTTTCAAACTAATTTTTGATCGATGCCACATTGTTTACAGCTTTTTAGCCTTGATTATCTCTGTTCTCGTGCTCTGCAGCCCGATATGAAGAATTTTTAAAAAATTTCTGTTAGTTTTTGTTGTCAGGAATCAGGTTTATGCTCCTACATTGTCAGCACATTTAACCCTGAGAACCACGTCTATGCTGTCATTCATACCAAAGATTATGACAAATGCAGCAATGACTGAGGGACTTTTTGTCTAGTTTCCCACAATGCACTTTCCTCCACTGCGCCGTGTCATGTTTGAAGATAAATTAGCGCACCTGAGCTGATAACAATAGCTGTGTTTATTCAGGCAGGTATGAGGACAATGGTTCAACTTTGCCCTGTTATTTTTAGTCGGTTCATCATAGAGGATGAGAACAGCAGGTCTTGGTCTGGAACGTAAAACTGCAGCGTTTTCTGATTTTCCTTTTAACTCTTCCAGTTTGTCTTTACTCTTTATTTGTATCAACGCTTCAAGGCTGACAAACTGCTACAATGTGAATTTCTTCTTTGGTTGCACCAACTTTTATATTCACATTCATAACCACATTGCCAGTAGCACACCGTGTATATATTGTCGTCTCAGATATTTTTTGGCCAGCATTTTTCGTATTTTAAGTCATTTTTGTATTAGGCTCGTGTTTGGCTTTGCTGACTAAATATAATCAAAATGACAAATGATGAAAATAGGGCAACCAGTACACCTCACCCACAGTACCAAAACAAAACAAAATAAAAAATGTCCCCTCTGTGGGCTGCCACCTTTGGTTAATTAAAAACTTTTACTTTTAGTCTTCCAGGGTAAGCAGCTTCAAGGGAACTGACAAGATTCGTACAAAGTTGTCTTTTTAATCTCTTGGTACAAAACACACTTAACAGTTCAAACAGAAGTGCAAATAATAAAACCGATGCTGGCTTGACTTCTAAATGTGAGACGTTTACATTCACGTCATTCCAGAGCTCCTCTCTCTAGAGGAAACAAAACACTCATGGAGAGTTTGGTTTAAAGTCTGCTTCAAGTAAATCTCAAGTAAAATGTGTAACATGAGTTAAAAGGGATTAAACGCTCTTTAGATGCCACAGAACCTCTCGCTGATCTCCCACAGCTTCTTTGAGGCGGCATCGTCCCTGGCCGTGGCGAAGACGTTTCTTGCGGTGCAGTTGGAGACGTAGCGCCCGCTGAGGTGTTCAATGCTCTCCTGCAGGGCGCAGTGCAGAGTGGTCTGGCTTCCCTGGAGCGCGGTCTTGAAGATAAATCTTTCAATGTTCTTTAGTGTCAATTGAACAATTGTCCTCTGGTGCCTTTGCAGTTCAGTCAAGATGCTTCCTGCGAGAACATAAAGTCTTTTTGGTTACCTGGTCTTGCAGTCAAGGGAAACAATAAGCTTAATTTATTTTACCGCTGTAAAGGGAAAACGAGTACGCAGCTTTCTCTGTCCAACACAAGTTGTCACTTTCACATAATGTGAAAATGTGACTCTCTAAAATATAATAGTGAAACTGGACAAAATGGACCTGTTTGTCCGCAAGTGATCATAATAAATATAATTAACATTAAGTGTAATAATCTCCCATAAGCACTTTTTCTTTGGTGACTTCAAGTATCTCGGCTGTCGCTACACACTAAAATAACAACTGCATAAGTTAAATATGTGAGCATTATAAGAGGGAAACCTTCAAAACAAGCAATGATCTGACCATGTCAAATGACTGAATATCTGAGTTTACCGAATTTAAGTGGTAATAATATTTTTGACATATTTTGGTACTATTGTGATAAGGATAAAAATTATGATAAACTATTATTTATTTTTTTGCATGGCTGTGACTCCCTGGATCAGGATTTCGAGCACCACAAATATTGCTCTTGAAAACATTTCTGTTTGCTTTGGGCTCCTTGAGGATGCTGGTTAGTTTTATGAAGTGTGATTTGTATCAATAAGCTGCACACATTAAGATCATTGATTGGAATATATTGATTTATCAGATTCTTTTCAAGGCAATATTTTTGTTGTATATTTTGCTGTTTTCTGATCACTAGACTTTTTCGATGTTAAAATATCTACGTGTCAAAATAATTTGGAAAACACACAAGCTATCATAGGGTGTGCTATTTCTATCACTTGATGACCATCACTAAAGTTTCTCTCTCTCTCCCTCTATTTTCAGTCTAATCCTGCTTCATTGTGCAGCTTTTCTTCCCAGTTTCACTGAGAAACAAAAACATGACCAGCAGACTCTCACCCTCTTGACATCCTGCAGAGCAGCTTCTCCTCTCTGCTTGCTGCGACAGGCCAGGATCACTCTGGCTCCTCTTCTCGCCAGCTCTATGGCCGTGGTCTTCCCTATGCCGGTGTTGCTGCCTGCAGGTGGATGGCAGTCAGAAACCAGAAGCACATCATATCTACAAAGCAGAAACTTCACCCACCGGTGACTATCACGGTTTTCCCACGCAGCTTTGCGTTGCTCTTGCAGCTCCTTCCTATCACTGCAACTCGACGGAAAATGTAAGCGAGGAACGACGAGTCACAGCACCAGCAGAATCCAGAACATTGTTTTGAGAACAAACAGCCTCTTCCTGAGTGGCTGGACTTACAAGTAATCAGATTGCAGCAGAGCACAAAACCGGAAATTCTTAAGAGTTGGGCTGGCCTGCCCAACTGGTGTTGACAGATCAAACATTCATAATGATATGTGTGGTAAAGTTCAGCTTCATTCAATTTTAAGTGGCCAGATTATGCAAGATTCACATTTTGCACATTTAGGTACTTCCATTTGGGTTTCTACTGCTTCTAAAAACAGCACCAGCTGGTCTTTGGCAATAAGTTCATGTTTTATGGCGTGTGAAAAATGAGCCGCTTCAAGAACTTCACCCAAGCAAAGCCCAGCCAGTTACTTAGCAGCACAAGCTTCATTGACCTTCCTTTGGTGGATGTAAGGAGAACCAGATCTGACCTGATCACTGATCAAACACAGGATGCAACAGAAACATCCTTAGTTTTCCTCCAGTAGGAACATTTCTATGCTTTATTCAATGCTCTCAGCTTTATTTAAATGCTCTTTATTTACACTCTAATTAAAATTCCACATATGGATCATAAGTTATGTAATATTTAAATTAAGTTAATTCCCTTCCACTTTTTACAATGTCTGAAGAGTTAAAGAAAAGTCACATCAAAGTGTCAACTTTGGTCTCGGTTTCTATTTTTGCAAACAAATTGAAGTGAACATCTTGAGAGTCTCTTGTCCAAAACAAACTGCTCTCGTCAAACGCTCTTCAGAGGTCACAGAATCTCTCGCTGATCTCCCACAGCTTCTTCGCCGTGATCGGATCCCTGGCCTTGGCCAGGACGTCTCTGACGGTGCAGTTGGAGAAGTGGCGCCCGCTGAGGTGTTCGATGCCCTCATGCAGGGCGCAGTGCAGCGTGGTCTGGCTTCCCTGGAGAGGGGTCTTCATGAAAAATCGTAAAATGTTCAACACGACCAGTTGAAAAACGGGGCTCGTGTTCCTGATGATGTCGGTCTTGATGACTCCTGTGGGAAGATCCAAAGCTTTAGGTTGCAGCACAAAAATAAATAGACTGGTGGTAAGCAGTTTTAGCCATGTGTAGTCAAATCAAGGTGCTGGTAGAAAAGACTCGTTCTTTGGATATCATCTGACCGATGCAAAATGACTACAATGAAAACTCACAGCCTCTTATTTTATCTCTTAAGGGCCACTTGCAATAAGTTTACCAAACAATTTCAACGGTATTGTTGGCCATTTTATTTCTGCTTAAACTTGAGGTAATCTAACAAATCTAAGAAAAAAAGGTCTGTTATATTTGAAACATTTGTTAACATGCGGCCTATGAGATGACCATGTATTTTTTATGTCTGCAACCTCGCAGGGTAGCTTCTATGATTTGGAGCCCTTTATTTTTCAGAGAAATGTTCACAAATGAAAAAGTAATGAAGGGAACAGGCAACGTTCTCGAGGAGAAACGGCTGAACTTGGGGTCAGATCACACAATAAACAAAGAAAACGGCAAAAACATCATAAAGTGACAGAAGAAATACAAACATTAAGATTCCTGTTGAGAACAGGATCCGGAACAGGATCAGACAAACTCTTCAGAACAAACATGGCATGTATGTTTCCCATTTCCAAAGTTGTCTGTGTCAGGTTAACCTCAAGACAGGAGATCAAAGTGATCAATAAAAGTCTTTGCATTTACTGAACTTTTGAGTGATGTGCCTTGTCACTCATATTCTTGTTCTCACATTTTCATTAGTCTTTGTCAAATACTTGTGCTTGTCAATCGATTGAATAAGAAACTATCCCTGTGTAGCTTACCTGGATGGAGGGAGTAGCAGGTGACCGTGGTCCCCTTCAGTCTCTTGGCAAGCTCGTATGTGAAGAGAACGTTGCACAGCTTACTGTCTGCATAAACCCTTTGGCCGGACACAAATGATGTCCCAGTCCTTAGATCTTTGTGAGTGTTCAAGCAGTCAAAATCTATTGTTCCACAGTTGTGCGCGCCAGACGACACATTCACCACCCTGCTCGGTCCGCACTCCTTCAGTCGGTCCAGCAACAGGTTGGTCAGCAGGAAATGACCGAGATGATTGACGCCGAACGTCATCCCGAACCCGTCCTCAGTTCGACCAAATATGAACAGACCTAGAGCGAAACAGAGACAATCCTTGTCACCTAAGGTATGGGTGAAATTTGACAGTATTAAGGCCCCGACAGACGTCATGCAACATGCCGAAACCGGCTCTCGTTGACGTAGAGGCGTGATGAAAACTGCGTTATTTTCTTGAGAATGCTGTTTCCTGAAACCCAACCAGCGGATGTGGGGAGGTCTCTGAGACAGGAGGGTACACTGAAGCGTGAGGGTGACCCTCAAGGTGGACTGCGTCGTTGTTTGAAAGGTTTATACCGAAGCCATGTCAATTGTTCAGATTCAGACGACGTTACATCGAAGCCTTTAGGCTCTGTAGGACAAAATTACTCTTTAAATATACTCTGTCCTCATAGGGGTTCCTGAAACTGTCAACGAGTGGCGTATCATCGAGGCCGAGGACAGAACTCCTACCCGCGTTGTTGATCAGGATGTCCAGTCTGGGTTCTGTCTTCAGGAAGTTCTCTGCAAAGCTGCGGACTGACTTCAGACTAGCCAGGTCCAGCTGCATGAACACCACCTGATTACTGCCGCTCTCCTGAAATAGACGTTGAAGACTAATCAGTCAGCTCTTAAACTATAGGTCCTTATCTATGGCAGTGACATGTAGATTACCAAATAAATAAAGCACACAATCTTATTCACTATAATATGAGACAGAACACAATTCTGTCTCAGTAGTGCCAGTGTCATACTGTCTTTATTTGGGTTAGAAACAAAGACATGACCAGCAGACTCTCACCCTCTTGACATCCTGCAGAGCAGCTTCTCCTCTCTGCTTGCTGCGACAGGCCAGGATCACTCTGGCTCCTCTTTTTGCCAGCTCTATGGCCGTGGTCTTCCCTATGCCGGTGTTGCTGCCTGCAGGTGGAAAGAAATAATAAAAGAAAAGAGAAAAAATATAGAAACTTTACGTAAACTAAATCTTTACCCACCAGTCACTATCACGGTTTTGCCATGCAACTTTGCTTTGCTGGTGCAACTCTTCCCCTTCACCACCGTCTCATGGAAGATGTACGCAGCTATGAGAAAGCAGACCAGCAAAACTACGGCGTACATTGTTTCGCACCTTTGAGCTTCGCAGGAGAGCGGATTGCCTGAGAATGGAGTTGGAGCACTTTCAGTTTTTATCCAACCCTCATTCAAACAAATACACCCCTTTTCTGCATGAACTTCACTGTGTGCTCTTTTTTTTTTTTTTTTGTTAGGTAACAGTAGAGCATAAAAATCCTTAAAGAGACAGTACAACCTGTTGGAATCCTGCTGACAGGAGGACAAATGAGCTGGTAATTAATGTCTTTTAGGCAGAACAGTCAAAAACCACAATAAAGTAAAGGTGCGGCTCATTTTAATCTGAAGGATTTTGCTAAATGTTAGGGTTGTTTCATTACACACATGCACACACACACACACACACACACACACACACACACACACACACACACACACACACACACACACACACACACACATGACCTATGTACATAATAATAATTTGCAATACTTAACCACTACAGTCATAGGTTAGATAACGTTTGTCTGTCAAAGGTGAAAGTTTTACTGAGAGGCATTTGTTGCTGCCCGGAAGGATGACCTGACAATCTTATTTTGTGGAAATTGTGCATAAAATTTGCACGTCAAAAAATGTATTTAACATTAAATACATTTATCTACAATTCATGACATTTTGGAGATCATGCACTCTTTAATAGAGGATGAACCCAAATAAAATTACTCCGAGCTCAGACTGCAATGGTCTGTACAGACGCCTTACCAGACTGTCTAGACTCTGTTGGTCTACGTCGCTCCTCTATGGTGACTAGCTCTGCGTAACGACCAGAGGAACAACATCCCATAGAGAGTCTGAATCTGTTCCTCAGTGAAGTCCTGCTTTGTCAAGTCAGTCAAGTTTACTTGTATTGGACATTTCAGCAACAAAGCAGTTTAAAGTGCTTTGCATCATAAAGACAAAAATGCAAAGACATGAAAGACACCATGCAGTCAACAACTGAGAAAACCAGCAGCAAATGTTACATTTTGATGAGCGCCATCATCAAAATCATCATTACGCAACAAATCTGTTGGTTATTTGTTATGATTCAAAAGCAACTCTGAACAGCTGGGTTTTTAATCTGCAAGTAAAGCAGCTCAGTGTTTCAGCTGTTTTGCAGTTTTCTGGAAGTTTGTTCCAGATGTGTGGTGCATAGGAGCTGAATGCTGCTTCTCCACGTTCGGTTCTGGTTCTGAGGATGCAGACCGGACCGGAACGTCCGGGCCTGAGAGGTCTTTGTGGCTCTGGGGGATGCTTCAGCGTCGCTACGTTTCAAACACGTTTTCCTTGATGCTCTCGGTTTGTCTTCACCCGTTTACCTATTCATGGATCATCTAATTATCCACACAGTGAACACAGATGACTGTAACACCTCGCAGCTGCGGATGCTGCTTCACTTCAACCAGATTAGGAATATCAAGTTCTGCACCACTACCAGCACAGAGGACTGACTCTGCAGTCGTTTAGAGTACAGTCATAAAAGCCAGAGCAGCGCAGCACTCAGAGCGTTTGATTAAATGCCGTGAAAGCACGCCGGCCATGAATGAATAAATTGGCAACAATGCTCTGTTTCGACAGTTTAATTAAGTCAAGCCGATGAAGCCCATCAGTCCCTGGAGTTTGAGTTTTTCATGTAAAATAATTTCAACAGTACAAGTGACGTCCTTTTAGCTCACACCAACTGAGCTTTGTTTTAGTAGATAGTTTCAAACTGGTGAAACTTACATTTTTAAGGCTGAAACATCCAATCAAAGCTTGAATCTAATTTTTTTTTGCGTGTCAGACAGCTGTTCATTCAGAGCAAATGTTTGGCAAACACATATGTATTTTTATTTGCTTACGAAATATATGTAAAATGTCCTCATAGGCTCCTGTAGATTGTGTAATGCTGTCAGCGTTTCAACAAACCGCTTTAATTAGGCGAGAGCAAAGGAAAGAACAAATTTTCAGGTTGCTTAGGTTTATGTATCTTACAACATAATTATCATTGTCGGCCTGTTGAGAAAATAGTGATAGGGAACAGAAAGACCTTCCAAATACTCCACAGAGGATTTGATTTTAATGATAAGCTAACAAAAAAAGTTATGAACATTCAGGTTTAAAGCTCTGCGAAAGCGCAGTGATCGAAACTTTCAGTGCCAACTCAAACGAATCATGGAGTCAGAGATTGTGGACATAAGACTGGAAAATCTGGTTTAGTTTCAAATCTGATTTATGGATTATGGGATTAAATGCTGTTTTTGAAAACAGGCATTTTGTGAAGGCTACGGATGAGGTGTGGTTTAACTGTCAGGTAACCAGACGTGAGTCCACAGTTTGTAGTGTAACATTTTGGAAATTCATCTGCAAACGCCCCATTAGTGACTTTAATGGCCGTTTTGAACCGTTAAACGTGGGTGGAACCCGACAGTAAATGGGTTCTGTGATGCCAACATCTCTTAACTGGTTTATCTCTTGATCCAGTTATGTTTGTTACCATGTTGAAGTGCAATAAGCCAGTGTGGGATGGTGTTTTTTTTTGTACAGCATTATGCCTTTAATCAGTCTATCAAGTTCATTTGTGTAGCACATTTCAGCAACAAGGCGGTTCAAAGTGTTTTATTCCATCAAAACACAGAAACAAAAAGTCACAAAATCAAGATGCAGCCACCAGTCTGAGAACAAACGGTACATTTTGCACAGTGAAACACAGAATCGTCTGATTTTCACAGAATAAATGCCACATTAAATGTGGAAAATGTTTTTAAATGACTCATCAAGGCCTCACAAAAAACCTGGTGTTTTGTTTACACAGGGGTGTGTGTGAGCACTTTAGAGCCAACGTACCGGAAAGATTTCAGGGTTTTTTTTCTACAAATATTCTTTGCTTTTCTTCAGCGTCGAGTCATGAAACTCTATTCCTTCAGAACTGACCGCAGTGAGAGCAAAATCTCTTCCTCCTAGCAGTTTAAAGAGACGGCGTACGCTCTCTGAACGGATATATCTGTGATGATGGTTTCCATTTAGGAGGCTTATTTCCTGACTGGAGAGAGGCTGTTTCCCAGTGACCCGTTTCGTCCAGGTCAGTTGCTAATCAAAGGAAGGACGACCCTCACTCCCAGGCATTCACACTTAATGTGTCCTGAGTTTAAGGGGCAGCAAGCAGCAATTGGCCAAAATGTTACACTCTCCTGCAAAATAATACCATGTGAGGTGACCACAATTTGACAAACAGCGGACATGTTGCTGTGTTTTCATCTAACTTACCTTTAAATTAGATACATATATAGTCACAGGAGGATGAGGAACTTGACGCATCTCAGTTAAAGCTGAAATATGTAAAAAAAAAATAAATAAAAAAATAAAGTTTTTTTTTGCACACTTGTTGAAACTGTTACTGCTGTGACAATGTAATATGAGACAGAAACAACCAATCAGAGCCAGGAAGCGGGTCTTAGTGCTGTCACTCAACCTTTGATATTTAACCTTGCTGTGCTACAGCTGGTTCACCACAACAGAACCTGCTACAAATGCTAAGGCTGGTTGGAATTTGCGCCAATTATCACAACGCTGGTATTTGCCAACCAGCATTTGATAGTTTATCCTCTGGTATGACGGCAGATAAATGGTTTTTCTGCAAATGTAAGCTGTTTCTCTGCCACTAGCACATTTAGCAGCAAGTACATGAGTTTGATTGACGGCACTTTGTTAGAATATACCATGAGATAACAGGTCAAACCAAACAACAAAATCTAAACTAGACCAAATAGTTGGTAAAGTTTTGTGGGGGGCGAGGTGGTTTTGTGTTTTTTTGCAGTGAACCCCCTCAGTACTGTAGGCTCCACAAGTTACAGAATATTACGGTTACAAAAGCGGTGACTAACGCTGGAGCAAACGGCACAACAGAATATGTGCAAATATCTTCAATAAACCTGAAAATCAGTGAGATTGAAATGGCTTTCCCTCAGCCAACAATGGCCTCTTCTTTCAGGAGTGTTTAAGTCATTTATTTTTCATTCCATCACTTGGATCTCCGGGTTCATGCAGACAAGCACACTCATACAAAAGTAAAGCTAAGTGGAGCCATGTTCTACCTGCAGGAGTGCTGACGGATGACAGTGAGGTTCTAAAAATCTAGCATGAACACAGATGCTTCAAAACGCAGCAGGTTCAACAGAGACTCCTGATGTAGCTTGCAGAAAGCCAGATATTTATCTAGTGTTCAAAGATTCAATAGCAAATGCACATCATCAGCTCATCTCTGCTTTGATATAAAAAACAGTATTGTACAAGACAAACAGTGTCAAGATCTGACCTGAAACTGTCAAAGGAGGGGGGTGAAGGGAAGCTAAGGGAAGACTCTCACTTCCCTTAGATGTAGATGCTCGAGCACCTGAAACAGTCTCAGTATGTTTTAACATTGCAATTTGCATCTTTTTTTGGCAAAGGGAAAACTGGTGTCCATCTCCTAAACAATAGACTCTGCTGAACTCCAGGGGATATTCAGGGCCTTAGAGATTAATTTTCTATCCATCTCCTGACTTATACTTTTCAGTCACATTTTCTCTGGTTTGTTTGAAGTGTTCTCTTTGTCCTCGTGCTGCACTTATCAGGAATACTGATTAACCAGGGAATGAGCCTCTGCTTTGAGTCTGGCGCCACCCTCTGACTGGGACAATTATTATTATCATCCTCGCTGTTATGCTCATTGGTCTGGACTGGCTCAAGCAGAACCTAGTGGGGACGGACTGATGTGTCTGTTCCCACATCAGACAGACATTGTGGGGACAGATAAGTGAATTAAGCTTTATTTTGACGACAATTTTAAAGGGGCAGAATTATGGAAAATCAACTATTTTCAGCTTTACACCATGTTGTGCTGTTATTCCCAGAGCTGAAGTGCTGCTTTGATTCTTCCATGCATGAAAAAACACTTTCCTCCCTCGCAGAGCAGGCGTCCCCTGCAACTCCGCCACTGAGCTCCTTCAGACTAGCCAGCAGCAATTAGCAAACACCTGATGGAACTGAGCATCTGCTGAGCTCATTATAGGAGCTACTTCTCAGTAAAATGTTGGTAAGAGGATTT